AGGTATAGGAGTTATCTTAGCAGGCTCGTGGTCAACTTGCAATTCGTCTATATCTGTCTCTGCAGTCTGGAGAGGAGCTGAGGCCGCCTGTACAGGCACTGAAGGAGCACTCTCAACGATAGTAGGGGGGGTAGACCCCAGACCATTGCCATCAGTTACAGACTTGCCCACTGCCTGACCCCCTTTTGGTGCAAGATGATTCAAGATGCTTGCGCCTGCCGATGCTCTTGATCTCCTGGGCCGTGTGCTTTTGGAAGTAGGTCGTGCAGAGTCTGTACTAGAACCCGTCTTGCGCCGCTTACGACTCCGTCCGTCTAGATCTGAGTCGACTACATTGTCATTTCCCTTGTTGGTACGGCCAACGCATTCGTCGATGTTGTCAGAGAGTCGGTCGGATGTTGAACTGCACGATGACTCTGGGGTGATGGGCATCGCGATGTTTTCTGCCGTTGACTTCGACAATGTCTTTGGCGCTGTAAAAAAAGGGTGTACTCGCTTGCGACCAGCATCGTCGACCAGCCCCTCCTCAGTCATTGTATAACGTTAAATTGAGTGTAATGGTGATAGGGGTGCAGGAGCGGTCGTCGATGCTGATGGTGCAGTTGATGCCTTCGGTTAAGAAAAGATCCAGATCCAATGTATTAAACCATGTAGGTAGCAAGAGTCGGAAAAGAGGATGCTTCGTAGTTGTGGTCTATATTCTCGGTAGGGAAGACAGACAGACTGTCAACGTTGTTCACTGGTAACTTTGCGACGCCATGCTGAAGCTATAGAAGTGGGTAGCCAAACCGCGTCGCTACCTATTAACCAAGTACCTAGGAAACCGCGACGCGCCTTACCGTGCATCATTGACTGAACTTTAAATGCACAAGCACTTGCCCTCTGCAGCACTGCCTGTAGCATAGTACTGCTTGGCAGTATTGGGTCCACCTTCCCCAATCAATCAGTTCCTCACCTGTCAATGAACGACTATTGGCTGAGAATTGTTAGCTCGGAGCTCCATCCAGCTAAGCTTCTATCAAGCTAGCGGCATCCTGTAGTGCCCCACTGTCGGAGCTTCCCTTCACCAAGACCGACAACTTTTTTTTCTTCTCCAATGGAAGAACGGCTCAAATCATACTCGATGTCCATGATGTTGGTCTGCTTGCAATAACCAATCTGCACTGCGATCAGCTTCAGTTCAGAAGACTACCTAAGTGTAGTTACTACCACCATACATACGAGCGCCAATGGCTTCTCACTTTCAAATCCAGAAGCCTTATGTGCTCACCACACTGCCGCGTCCCCTTGACCCGACAACTGGGCGCTATGCCGTCAGTGAGGTTTATGGGTCAACACCAGGGTCAAAGAAAAGGAAGAGGGCCGAGCTGACCGTGGGAACCGATGGGGACTCGATCAACATCTACGAGGTTAGTGAGCACCCTCATAAACTGCGACAGTCTATTTCCCCCAAGTTCTAACCATTGGATCGCAAACAGGTTTCTTCAGCCAGACTTGTTACGTCGTACCCAATTCCTCCGCAGGCTAGCTTTACCTGCCCTCCGAGCTCTGTTCGGCGAAGATACCTCGACAGCAAAGAGGTGGCAAGATACACATATGTCTCTACCCACGAACACCCCTCTCATAAAATCACCCTCTTCAAAGATCTTGTTGCTCGCTCCGGTGAGACAACTTCGAAAACCGAATCGATAAACCTAGGCCCTGGCCAAGCGGTCACCTTCCTATCGCCCATCAAGCCCTTGCGCAATGAACCAGGCGTTGCGAACGACTCTCTAAGAGAAGAGCTAGTTGTCGTCCGCGGAGATGGTGAGATCATTGGCCTTGATATCGAGTCTTTGCAGAAGAAGTGGGTTTCACCGTCCAAGACGCTCTACAAAGGCGTTGTCGACAGCTCGGCTGGACTCCATGGTACTTCGACTTCGAATTCGAAAGATGACTTCAAGGTCGAGTTCTGTTGTTCCGCACTCGCCTCCGATGTTGTGCAGGGGATATTCAAGGGAAATGAGGAGTTGCTCAGTCTCTTCCCCGGCGAGAGGCTGGAGAACAAAACAGACTCGGAGGTTCTCGTACTTATCTCAAGCCATGGCGCGGACGATAACAAGATTCGCAACTTTCATGTTGTCGGACTATCGCCACAGAGTGCGTCGCATACTGGGCAACGTGTTACAATTTTGTATACCGGACCCCTCCCTGCCCGACCTCACCAGACTAAGAGCGGTTTATCCTATCACCTAGATGCTCTATCGGGAACTTTCTTGGAACTCGATGACCAAACTCTTGCCACCTATGACCTAACTACCAGTGTGCCACGAGTCTCAACTGAGGTAGCCCTCGGGGAAACTTCTTCGTTCTTGCGGCTAAGCAAAACCTCGCTGCTCTCGTCAAGCGGGAATAAGCTCAAAGTCTACAACCCTGTTTACAGATCACTACAAAGCTCAACCACGATCGAACTAGAAGGGCAATCTCAGGTCTCCATCGATGGCGCATCTATTCCAGCAAAATGTCAATTGGTCGCATACTTCTCGCGTCTTGAGCTAGCCATTGCGATTATCAACTCTAACTTGGTGGCAATTCAACTGGAAGCTCCCAAGACAAGGGCAAAGAAGCGCCGGGCTGAGGGTCTGCTTATCGATTCCATAGGACGTGGTGTACCGTCGGTAGACCGGGACCAAACCACCAGTGCGAAAGAAGTATCCACGAAGTCGGCCTTCTCCCGATACCTCCCAGGCTCTGTCAAGGGAGACTACTGGGAGAAGTGGAATGCTCAGAGGTTATTAGCTGATGGTTTGCTTAATTCCAATGACGTCGCTGGTCTAGAGAAGTTTCTGGCGGAGAAGTTCGGGGTTGCAATCCGCGAAAAGGAACCAACTAGTATTCAGGATGCTGTCGGAGAAGATGCCAATGTTTTGGAAACACTTCCCCGTTGGAAATGGCCGAAGAATAGAACCGCATACCCATACGCCGATAGGAGATGGATTCTATATGCAATCAGCCGAGCGTTCGAGTGGAATAGTGCTCTCCCTGATGATGAGACGATCCCACGACTCGTCTGTCAGCTGCCCCAGAGCAACATTGTCAATTACCTCGTTGATGCCGGGCATATGACGTTATCCAATATCAAATCTGCGTTCAAGCTGAACATGAACGAGACCGAAAAGACAGACTCATTTATCGCAGAGCAACTCATCACACGCCTTGTCGACCTCGACCCATCATTCGCTCTCTTAAGCGCCTACATCTCCGCCACCACACTGGACTCGACCGAGCTCCTACTTGCCGTGCGCATCATCATGCGAAGCCTCGAGTTAATTCAAGACCGTCATCAGAACCCGCCGAAACTGCTCGCAGATAGCGCCGACTCCGCAACGACGGAAGCGGTGACGGCGGACAACGACAACGACAACGACAATGACAACGGTGCCATCGGCATGGAGCTCGACAACCTCGAGGAGCAGATCCAGAAGACGGAGTCGTACCTCAACAACTACAGCGGGGACGCGGGGGTCCGCGGCGCCGCCCTGAGCGCCGCCTTCGCCAAGCTCGGCGGCTGCCCCACGGGCGCGACCATTGGGGCACTCCGGGCCTCCTTCAAGCCCGAGGAGATCCTCTCCCTCGTCTACGTGCTGCGCGTCGAGCTCGTCAAGGGCGCCTGGACCTCGCGCTACCTCGACACGACCGACTTCGAACGTGACCCAAGGCTCGATGCGCCCCCCGACGGCGTCATCAAGCTGCTCGCCGACCTACTCGGCCGCTGCATCGATGCCATCGGCCCCAGTGGCTGGCTCCTCAACGACGCGATCCTTGCGGGGAGCGCTGGAGTAGATGGCGGTGCTGGAGGTGAAGCAAGCGATTTCGTCGCTGCACTCAAGCTCGAAGTCAGCGCTGCGCTCGAGGGGCTCGAGGAGGCCGTCTACCTCCGCGGCATTGTTGGGGAGGCCGTTCGGTACTGCCAGGTTGTGGAGAAGCAGCAGCACCACCAAGGCCGCAACAACAATAGCGATGACACCGCGGTGGCCAACGTGACTGAAGGTGTTGTGAACAAGAACCAGCAACCTATTATCCCGTTGCCCATTCACGAGCCGGGCGCCGAGGCCCTGCCGCTCGGCCTCAAGACCGGACGGGACAGGATCTCGGCGCAGAAGATCGCCGCGGGCGGCGAGATCGTCGAGAGGAGCGCCCGAGAGACGGGACACCTCAGGAGTCAGCAGGTGGGGGCGTACTCGCTGGAGAGGATCGCCATCTGAGGGTTGCGATCGCGGCTGTAAATAGTAGCAAAAAGTAGTTGGGGTAGAAACATTACGTTGAAGTGGAAAGGTTTCGTGCGTGTAATTATGCATGCGTCCATGCTTGTTTATCTGGGCGTTGATGAAGCAATAGTCAAGTTGGGGTCGATAGGGGGAAGCTATGTAATCCAAGTGCTTAGACTAGATATCCCCCTGGTATCAAATGAGAGCTCCCGAATTGATGAATTGTCGACTACGTTCGTCCATATGCTTTGATTTACCTATACAGAAATCTGCACATGACCCTTTCGTATGACATCCATCTTTACTGTCTATATAAAAGGCTACCTACCTTCAGCTCTTTCACAGGTGGTCGGTCGCCCAGTCCTCTCAACATCCTGTTAGCTGGCTGATCAGGTCAAGTTTGTGGTTACCTATGCCGGTCAATAGCCGAAAAGCACAACCCCTCTAACCATCATGAATCTTGGATCATCGTTGTACTCATCCTTTTCCATTAAGCCAAGAAAAGAAGAAAGAAATCAAAAAGGGATAGATGTTTGCATCTCTAGTTATAAGAAGTTAGTGGGGGCCGGGACTTCGTTGGTTCGGTAGTCTACCTACTCTGCTACTTTGTAGCCTCACCGCAATAGGAGGGGCTCAGGGGCAATTTTACCTTACCAGCCCTTACCCACCAGCCCACTTCTGAGTGGATAGATCGCCCGTTGGCCAGACTGGCCTTATAAAGCCCAATATGAAAATTGTTTTCAACAACAAATAGCCCGGATGGTTTAGTGGTATAATTCTCGCTTAGGGTTCCAAACTTCCTAAGTTACACATTTGCGAGAGGTCCCAGGTTCGATCCCTGGTTCGGGCCTTGTTTTTTTCTTTTTTCTTTGGTGTTCTGAATCTTCTGGTTTAGATCTGTCTTCTTCTTTTTGCTTGCTGCATGATGCACCCTTTCCTTCTCGCCCGCCTCTTTGGTTACCTCCGTTCAAGCATGACCAGTCCTGCGTGTGGCTATGCTTCAAACTGCGCATTCCCACTAGGGTTCAAGATATCGGTATCTATATAAGTAGTCTTTACTACCTGACCATATAGTAGTTGTTCATGTTCTATTCTCTTTCCTGTAGTATTAACGGAGCTGATCCTTCTGACATCTCTCTCCACCATCCGTTGAACTGATTGAACCTTTCGAATATTGCAAGCTACGGGTAGGCCGTCTGGGTGGTAGGCTGGTCTTGCCAGCTTGCCCACTTACAATGTTCGGCAGCCAGCAGAGATCCAACACAAGCGGTCTCGAGGCGCTTCTCCACCGGCCGCGCCCGACGGCCTGGCAGCAGTTCCTGCGCCGCCCTTGCGTCTATCTAGCCCGCGAACTTTACAACAGGCGGCAGCAATCGTCTGCTGTCCTGCCACTGGCACCACCACCATCACTGCCACCTCAAGCGGGTTCAGACCCGGTGTCGGTCGTCTGCATCTCCGACACGCATAACACCCAGCCCGCGCTCCCGGACGGCGACATCCTCATCCACGCGGGCGACCTGACGCAGTCCGGCACATTCCAGGAGCTGGAGGTCGCCATCGCCTGGCTGCGCCGCCAGCCCCACCCTATCAAGATCGTGGTCGCGGGCAACCACGACCTGCTGCTGGATGCCGACCGTGATAATCATAACGGTGTAGCGTCCGCTGGTGATGATGTCGATGCGGCGGCGCTGCGCCGGTCGCTAGACTGGGGAGACATCATCTACCTGGAGGACGAGGAGACGACTGTGACCGTAACTTGCAACAACAACAACAACAGCAACAGCAACGGCCAGCGCCGTCTCCGCCACCTGCGCGTCTACGGCAGCCCGCGCACGCCCCGCCACGGCAGCTGGGCGTTCCAGTACCCACGAGAGACGGACGTCTGGGCCAGCGAGAAGCATGCGGTGCCGGGCGGCGTCGACGTGCTGGTGACGCACGGCCCGCCGCAGGGGCACCTCGACGCGGCCGCGGGGCTGGGGTGCGCGCACCTGCTGGGGGCGCTGTGGGGGGCGCGGCCGCGGCCGCGGCTGCACGTGTTCGGGCACGTGCACGAGGGGGGCGCGGGCGTCGAGGCGCTGCGGTTCGACGGGCTGCAGGCGGCGTACGAGCGCACGGTCGCGGCTGGGGGCGGGGTGTGGAATCTCGTGCGCACTGCGGCGCACTTCGTGCTCGCGCTGCTGGGCCCTGCGGTGGAGGCGCAGTCGCTGCTCGTCAATGCGGCTATGGTCGGTGGGCTGCGGGATGAGGAGCGTCGGGTGCCGGTGAAAGTTTTCATTTGAGTAGAGATGAAGGAAAGTCTTTCGCAATCGGTACAGCTCTGTTTAGACAGTTAGTTGCTAAGCAGAGCAATGGTGGGCTGCTTCCGGAAGAAGCCTCCTATTCATGAGATGAGCTATTGGTTGGGGGCCTGCTGAGTTCTCTGGTATGGAAGAACCTCCCAAGAGGCTGCTACATGAAGTGGGTGATAACTCATTGCTGCTTCAGTACAAGCATTGATATCTCCAGCACCACTACTACTACCACCTATTTACCTCTTCATGGGATGGCAGATTAGAGGCCTTCTACACGCAAGGCTTGAGTCGATCAGTTGATCGATCGAAATAGGTAGGTATTCATAGAATCACCATGTACTAGACAGAGAGAGCATGAAGATACTGTTTGTATTGTTGGCTGAATTCTTCCCCCCCGTGTAACTTGCGCGCGTACAGTCACAGCTCATAAAGATCAGTATTGTGGCCCAATGATTTATCTACGGGCCTTTCCAGGATATCATTCAACTGGAATCATATGTGACTAAAACTATAGCATCGACCATCGTGAATCACCAGTCTACTGATCGGGAACTCATCTTTGAACTGGTGCCTAAATTCACCCAAGGCCAGGAAATGAGAAACTGTGGAGCCAAACCCGGTGCTTGGGCGGCATTTCCAATTCGTTTCACAGACTCTGTAACTAAAAGACCGCGAGATTTACGAATGGCTGTGGATGGCCATTGATCGCAGAATCCATTGCTGGCTGGCACGTAGTATAGCCCAAATCTTTGGGTCTTAGCCAGGAACAGTGAGGACCCTATGGACTGACTACTAGGCTCAAGCCCCGTTAGGCAACAGAACTACCAGATGATCTACACCATTCTGGAGAAGATTGCGGTCTTTCCCGAGCGGGAGAAACCGTCTTCTTACGGGTCGCGACACGTCAGTCGCGCTGAACTGTTGGCTGCCTGAAGAATATACCGAAAGGCTTCGGACTCCTGCGTTCGAAAGTGGATGATGGTTATGCTGCATCACCACTCCGCCATTCCTAGGATGCTTGGCAGCACGAAATGGGTTGCTTCCAATGCTGGCTGAGCGGCCGCAACCGTCCACGAATTATTATAAAGGAGTCCCTTCAGACACAGTTATGAGGTATTCTTCTTGAGTTTGTCCATCTCAAGTCTCACGAACTAAAGCCATAACAACAAGAATCCTTTATAACATCGGAACTTCTCTACTATACGCTATCATGTATTTCACCAGTATCCTCGCCTCGACTCTCCTCGCAGTCGCTTCTGCTGCCACTATCCAGGTAAGTGACAGTCCTCCCACCATTCCGGCTGCTTGCCCATCCCCGACATTGCGGAACTAACGCGGGAACCAGCGCCAGCAGCAGGCCCCCAACATCGCCGCCCGCGATTTCAACGGAGGCACCTGCACCTTCGAGATGGAGCAGTTCAAGGCGGCCGACCAGGACCTGGGCCACTTCGCCGGCCAATCTCTCGACGGCGCCGGAGAGCATGTCGGTTCCTTCGACCTCGAGTTCGACGGTGGGGGCTACCCGGTCGTGATCCGGTCGTTCCCGGAGTTCTTCCTGCTCGTCAAGGAGGACCACGACGATCTCGCCCCGATCCAGTACCAGTACCTGGCCCAGAAGTGGACGAGCGACGACGCGGAGCAGTGCACCCAGACGGAGTACTCGGGGCAGAGCCGAAACATTTCTTGCACCTTCGAGTGTTGATTGGGTCTGAAGACATACCTGAGCGGCGGTGACGGTAACCGGTACTCGATAACGAAACAGCTACAACACTCGTTGTTCCTTCTTTTCTGGTGGTAGTAAGCTATGAACCAACAAACAATGTTTAGGGGTATAGCTGGTTGATGTATATAATACATATTAATGAAAAGGGGGTATATCTAGAAACGCCGATGCAGACTGAATTTCATGAACGGTCCAGTTGATTCATCTGCCAGTCTTTCAAGTCAAAAGTCCCCTCTTTCAGTTCGCTCGTATCTCCATCCCATATGAATGTCGTGCCCCAGACACTGCTTCCATCTTCCTTCTTGATGATACAACCCTTTTCCTTGTAGTTATTCGTCTCGTACTCTGCCAGCCGATCCTTCCTCTTCGCACCTTCCACCTCCCACATCATGCCGCGGACTACATTTCCCTGGGGACCGTTCTGCAGAGCAGGATACGGCCCCCACATTTTGACGTGGTAGCCGACAATGCTGGCAGGTTCAAGCTGTGGTCTCTCCCCCAGCCCGAGGACGCGTTGTAGGGTCGAAGCATCCATCAGGGAGCCGTAGAAGAAGTACGGCTTTTTCTTTTCCCGCTCTGCTGCTTCTTGCATTTCCATGAGGTCCTTGTCCACATGCCATACATCACTGTCGCCAGCAGCCAGGAACTTCCGTGCCATGGGTGATGGACCGTCTGGTCTTGCCGGCCGTTTTGGGTCTCTAGGAACAGCCTCGAGCTCTCCAGTAGCGACCTCGAAGTTTCCAGGATCGGGCCCCAGATCTTCACGATCGTTCTCAGGATCCTCGGAGCCAGTCTCAAGATCGTTGGGGCTGGCTTGATCTGTCAAGCCCAGTTCCTCCCTGCATATCTTCTTGAGGTTCCCTTCGTGAGTGTTGAGAAGGCCGTGTACTCGAATCTTCAGACGATCGCATTCCGACTCAAACCGAATATTTGCGGCCAACGACGAATACTCGACATCTGTGCCAAGGGACTTGGCATACGCGACGATGGCCAGTTCAAGCTTTTTGTCGATAAGATTGTAGATGCTGTCCAGTATGTCTTGCCTCTGCGAATCATCCGCCCTCGCTTCAGCCTCTGCATTACCTCCGTTTGCAGACATGATAAGATCATCGGGGGTGATATTGGCTTGTTCTATACGCTCACGACAAGCAGGGTAATGGCTCCCAATGTTCGCAGCAAACAGCTCCGTCGACGCAGCGCTGGTATTTTCGAACTGTTTTTGCCGTCTGTGTCCTTGATAGTGCGTAACTTTATCAACTTAGAATGGAAGCAACGCATATAAAGAACACGAAATTGGGTCGTGGTCATCCGCACTAGTAGGTAGAGTTGAAGGAGTCATAGTAGTTGGGCATTGGATGCAAGTAAACGATACAGTTTGACACCCACAACCCTCCTGTGAAGCAGTGCAATTATATCTCGTTGGTATTACCCGTAACAGTGGCGGAGCTACTGCATGTTGGCGCTTGTCGGCTTTCGCCGGGATCAACCACTCATGCTTTTAAGCGCCCGCATGTATGGAAATCATCACTTGACCAAGGCTTTATTGAATAGGTAGTCCCCCCAGGCTCTTATAGCTTAGTACGTATGTATATAGCTAGAGGTTATACAGCACAGCCTAGTTCCCAACTATATACGATATTATAGCGGGATGTGGAAGGGCTGAAGGCTTTTGTCAGGGAAGGGTTGGTTTATGGGATGAGTGATCCTTGCTTCATTGCTCCTATTTTCCATGGGAAGTCTGGGCTTTTGCAATCGATGTCGGTTCGGAGAATCGACGGGAACCTATTGAAGAAGAATATGAAGCAGGACCAGAAGAAAAACGGTATGATGTAGAAA